CTTTCCTGCACTACCTCTAATATAGTGCTTTTCTCCTCTGCTTTTGTGTTTCATCTGATCTTTAGGCTTCAGCTTCCTTGCAGCAAACACTGTATCAACCATGAGGTATCAAAACACTAATGACATGACATAATAATACAAAACACCACCAAAAAACCCTCCAAAAAACAGAACTGTAGATCCTAAGAGCCTGAGGCTGCACAATGCTTTGTGCTTCAGTCTCATCTTTCACCAAGATGCATTATATTTTACATGACCTGCTACGTTAGTGCTGAGTCAAACAGGTCTTTGCAAAGAGGCCTGAAACATAATTTAAGGGACCATCTTAAAAGTCAAGAAACAGAAAACACAATTTTGAATTACAACCAATCAAAAAATAGGGCTTGGATACGGTTTCAAATGCCTGTCTCTAAACTTTTCCCTTTGGAGGTGATAAGTGAAATAGCAAGTGGAGAGAAAATAAAACTCAGAAATATAAGGGAAAATAAAACCAGAAAAAACAAACAAAAAATCTGTTCAAAACCTGAAATAAGAACAATTTTGCATATGACATATTCCTCCATAAATGTCTGTGTTGGCCATAGGCCTATGGGCCCCATATGCAGATTTCATGTTCTCCAAATTTAGTTTATGAATCAGGAGTAAGATGTACAATTTTTTCCTATAGCACAAGCAAAATGAACATCTGTTCACTTTTTGCCACGTAGGTTTGTATCTGTGTGGGTGGGTGTGAACAGAGCTCTTGATGTGTAATATTCTTCCCATCTGCACACCAGGTGGCACTGCATAGTTAATCAGAAGATAATAACAGGCATGAGGAGATTACTTACTTTTTGGGGAAAAGACAGTAAATCAATCTCAAGTTTGTTTTTTTTTTTTTGGTAAATGGGGTACATCAATGCTTGGACTTTTAATTTCTTTTTTTGGTGTGTAATTTCATCCCAATTAATGAAATCATCTAATTATATTACTGTTTGAATGCTATGTTAATTAACTACAAATAAATGCAATTATCACAAAGGTTCCTTCCACAAGAGAATTGATTTTTTACTTTTTATATATTGCTTTAACCCTTGCAAGCAGAGTATACTATTTAGAATACGTCCAAAAAACAGGCTCTGCTTGGATTTATTAAGTATGCTCTTATAAACTATAATTTTTCAGGATGTAACAGAACCTCTGACAAGCCTAATACAATGAAACTGTCTCTATAGTAATCCAGCATCACAAGATGGAGGAAGAAACAAAAAAGCTTCATTGCTAGCTTCATTTGCGCTATAATGAGAAGCTAACTAGAAAGTTAGTTATGGCTGTCAGGTTTAGCTGTAAGCCTACACAGGCGCTTAAGCTGAAGTGCCTATATGTCATTTCTGGGAATGTGCGCTTAGGATTTTTTAAATATTTTACCCAATAAAACAATCTTTGAAGACATGTTTTTATCTGATCTTTATATGCAAGAGAATGCACGTGTTATATGAAATGCCTATTTTAAGATAAAATGTTACAGAGTAAGTATATAGGCTTGCATAAAAGTCTGCACAGAAAGTGTTTATGGTGATAGCCTTTCTGTGTACTTGTTTAAGTTATTTCAGATACGTCCTTAACTATTATTAGTACTTAGGTCATTCATTTTCATTTAGCTAAATATCTGCACATAAAATATCTGTTTTCTATTTTCTCTTTCAAAATGATATAGAATTGTTTGTGAACTCTTAAGAAACAGAACCTTGGTTTGCAAAAAATTTAGCTGAAATTCATAGGGGAAGAGTAATAAAAGCCTAGTAGTAAAAGCCTCTGCTAAAAGCTAGTAAAAGCCTCTGCTCTGATAGCCAAATGAGATACATACACATACAGAAATTTGCTGTAAAAGTCTTAAAATATTCAACTCCGAAAATTAGCCAAGAGACATAGTAACACAAAGCATTCAGGCTACTCTGTTCTCCACAAGATACCCTCTGCTGCCTTGCTTTGCTGTCTCTGAGGACTGTGTTCCCTCTAGTCCCTCACCTCATCATTGACTTATCCTTTTTGCTCTAAACTTGCCTATTCTCTGTTGCCCTGAGTCTCTACGGTGTTTACTTAAGGCAGTAATTGCTACAAGACTTTTTTTTTTTTTAAACATCACAATTTTCAAACTGATTTGTCAGCTTGATCACATAAATTCTTCACAAACATTTCTTATCAAAAGCAGAACCAGCTCTAGGTAAGGTATATTGATGAAAATACGTGTTATCTATGGATAATTTTCTAGGCCAGTTTGAAAACTTTGAAAGTTCAACCGAGAAAATTCATTCCTGTTCATTAGTGTTTGTGAACAATAAAATAAACGCAAAAACTTGTAACTGGAAGATGAACTGAATTTTAAAGTGACAATTTTAAGCACTTATTGATAACACCTCTAATTCTTAGTCATCATTTTTTAAATATCCATTGAACTAAAATTGAAAAAGTTTAGAAATTGCACCAAGCTAAGTGATAATAAAAAGAAAGAACTAAAGAGATACAGTAGACACTCCTAGAATGTGTTTTACAGGCTGCTCCTATAGCAAGGAAATAGTGAAGCTGTTACTTCTGCTCCCACACAGAGACTTTGCTATTAATTTTTCTTCAATATGGTCACTTGTCAGTACTGGCCAGGCCTAAGTCACCTCTGCTGTATGCTTTACTATCCCAAGATCCAGTTAAGGAGTGTACTTCCACTGCCTCACAAAACATTCCCACAGAACAACAGGTTTTTCTTCTGTGATTCATAATTGTATAAAAATGGTTTTCCCAGTTCTCTTTGAATCTCCACCTGCCCTCATGTAGCTGGCTATTTACAAATGCTTTTCCATTTCATGAATCTCCCAAACTCCTGTGCAATGCTGACTGATAAATTCCTGAGTTCTATCCCAACTGCAAGACTGAAGGTATGCTCTTCAAAAATTATGCTGCTATGAAAAAATCCTCACAATGCATTCCCCTCATCCTATCAGGGACTTCACCTTTTACACACTCATGTGTCATTTTTTCTGTCCTCCACTAGCAGAGAAAACTGGAAACTACTATTTTTGTCCCCATCGAGGTACAGATTCATTCAGAATCAAACTAAACTCTTCTATGTAATTAGTATTCTGCAAATACTCTACTTCAAAGATTTCAGGTAAGGTCCAAATGTGTCATTTTGTTTAATATATGTTTGTTCAGGAGACAAAGAACACAAAAAGAAATGGAGCACAGACTCCTTACGGAAAACCAGCTGGTGTTGAGAGTTTATAAATGTTTTACTGCATTAATCACAGTTGATCCTAGAAATCTATAACCCCTTGGGTTTGTTCCCCATCTTTTACTACCAGTGCGCAAGGTCACAGTGCTGGCCAATATCTTATGCAGAACTGTGCAAGAGAGATGACAGCAGACTTAGGGGTACAGAGACAGATCAACTTCATCATGAATGCCTCACAGCTTCCAACAACAAAACTTCGTAGGAACACATAATCCTTCATTAGCATTTATACTCTCCGTTTCATAACGCATTCAGTGAACATGTGGTCTACAGGAGAACTATTCTTTGAATAACTTCTCCTTGTTTATTAAAGCTCTGATTCTGTCCCTTTACCTGGCACTCGTATGACACAATGTTGTCTACAGACATATCTAATCAAAAATATTTTATATTAGGATAGCTTCATTAACATCAGAAAATAAACTCACACATACAATACAAATATTCCAATCCTCCTCTTTGTAAAGGACTCAGTGGTCATTTTTGCTATCTACTAACAGAGAGTTATTTTCAATTTCTGAGTCAGAAATACAGGGGGACCACACTGGTTTTCCAATAATTGATCATTTCTTCCTAAATGCTAGATTCTGAGAAAACAAATGTTTGTGTACGCATTCCTACCTAATTTGTATCCTACCTAATTCCTACCTAATTTCACAAAGCATTTTGAAAGGCTCGGATTAAAACAATAAAGATGATAAGCTGGTCCATTGCCTTGTAAACAATTACATCAAAATATGACCCAAAAGAACTTCCAGCACACGGAAAGTGTCTAACAATGTGAGGATTTAGGATTATACAAATCACAATAGTCTGTACTATAATCACATGAAAGAATGAACCTGTAAAGCTTATTACACAGCATACCCAGATGGTAAACAACAGTTGTCACTGTACTAAGAATTACATCTCTGTAATCAATAATAGGAAGGAGGAACAGTTGGACAACTTGTTTCGTATTATGTTCACTTAGGCAACGTCTAGATCAATAAAGAGCATTAAGCCTCATACCAACTGTAGATGGTGCCTGCTCAACATGCATATCATATGGTAGAGATGGGTTCAGCTGTACCTCAAAATACTTCTAAATGGATAACAAGTCTAATCTAACATTAAAAAGACACAATGATTCAAATAGCAGGCAGGTGCGGGATTTTTTTTTAGCAAATGACAGAAGACAGACCTATGTGCCAGTTTCAGTATAACTCAAAGTCAGCTTATTTTGTTAGTCTATCCCGTAATTAAATTTTACTACAGCCGATCTGAAGTATGCTACATGTTTTATATGGAGGAAAGAAAAAGCAATTAAGCATGGTATCACTGGATTACAGATAGACTCACTAATCATACGCGCATAGGAAGTTGTTCACAAAATTTGAAAACCGAGCTTTTACGTCCTTTATGCCAATATGGCAATGAATTACTAGTAATTTTTCAGTTCATCCACTTCTGAACCATTTAAATAAATTAAGCCATTCAGCTATATTACTGTCTCTTACTTAGAAATCTATCATGTAAATGTGAAAATTGAAACAAACAGTTATCTTAAGATAGCTATGTTAGGATTGTAGCTTTATCTTCCTATTTTTAAAGCTTTCACTACATTCTATATTTTCTTAATGCAGAGTAAAGCTGTCACACATCATGCTATTAATGCAGATACAATTCCCAATTTATTCTCAGACAGTTATCCAGTTTCAAGATGACAAAACATAGGAGAATGAGCTGTTCTTACCTATTCCAACAAAGACTGCTTCGTAACCATCATCTTTCAAGGTACGGAGCGTCATTCCATCTATTGCAAGGCCTTTACTAAAAATGACCTAAGAGAATCATAAAGATTTATGGCTTTTAATTTGATAATGTGAAAATCACTTCCAGAATGTCCTGCATACTGACATCACAAAGCATATTCTAGTGAACAAACAAAGAAAATTACTTTTTTCCCCCCAAGGAAGACTTGAAAGATCAGACTGGCTCTGACTTAAGCAAGTGGCCCAAACTAGATACGGGAAAAGGTAGCATCAGATCATCCTCACATAAGGGCCACCACACTTTGGCTTCCAGTGTAAGCTGAAACAGTTAACAGGCAAGCTAAACAAACAAATAAAACCTGTCTACAGAACCTGTCCATGTTTCAGTTCAATAGTCACTTTCAGAAAAAAATATAAATAAATAGAAGCTGAAAAATACTTGCACAGTAATACTCCACCAGCAATTCCACTTTGAGTAGCCACCACACAGGCTAAGCGATTGCAGCTACTACTAGAGTGGGATAGGGTGAAGGTGTTTGCCGTGTGTTCAGCGAACCAGCTGTAGCAGACTCTTGTGTACAGGTTACACAACTGAAGACACACACACCTTTTGCTCATCTCTGCTGAGTGCATAAAGTGTGTACAATTCCTCTTCTGTTATTTAGTACTTCTTGACATGCTTATGTGAGTTTTTATCTCCCTACTTTAGACCCTCTGAACTTGAATGTTTTCCCTCAATCTGTGTTATAACACTTGTCCATTCACTTTAAAAAACAATCAAGCTACATTGTGTAAGGACTACGCTTTAGGATATACTTTTGAAAATATGTTTTTCCCATTCTTGAAGAAAGAGGGATGCAAAATATATAATATACCGTACTTAGAGATGGTATATTTTTTTCATTTGTAGATGTAGTATAATTTACATTGCAAGTGTAAAAGCCATGTACAGTTGTAATCCTTTCCTGAACACAGACTACATCCTCTCTGGCAACAAAATGCATTTTATAAATTATCATTACATTGTTTTTATCCTATTGTGTACATATGTTATGAAAATCTAATGAAGGAATTTAAATAGCAATGCTGTTCTATGTGCAGATTCATAATACTCCTAGAGCCCAGCTCTGTAATCCTTATTCACCTGAGTAATTCTTACTAATTTCAGTAGAGTTACTTGAATAAACAGCATTACCGAGCACGTAGACAATACAGCATCTTTCACCACACATTTGAAATGTTTTAAGTAAACACAGGAAAATATATGCACCTTATAGAGGTATAAAGCTATGGTACTTAGCTTGCTTGCCTGCCAAAGGGTCAACTGCAAACCAATGGCAGGGCTTGGAAACAAATTTACACTCAGAATCTCTGCTATGCCTCAAAACAACAAAGGACTTGCAGGTCAGGATGACGTGGTGGCTATACCAGTCCATTCTGGAGTCGTTAGCATAACACAGAGAGCCTTGAGGAACTGTATGAGTTTTGTCTCAGGCGCCTATGCCCAGCAATTTTATCTAAAATAGCTTCAGTGCTCTTAGTTCCATTCCTAGCACAACCATCTTCCTGTCAGTCTTTTCAAAGGTGGCAAAGGGATCATTAGCGTGGAAAAAATGATCTGTAGCATTTAAGGTCCCTTTCCATCTTATCAGCATGGATGAGGTTCTCACTTGGGTCTTATGACAACAGTCTACTGTTGTCTTTAGCCTTTATAGTATGAACCAACATTAAAGATTCCAAGAATTTCTTGCTTGATTGAATGCTGAAGCATAATGTTAAAAGTATTATCCCCTCTCTACTCAAAAATATCATCTAGTGATGCATTCCACCCTTCTAACTTCTATTAGAATGTCCAGCAGTTGTTAACACTGGCTAAATCTTCAGCTCAATCCCTAAATTAACAATAAAACATTCCTATTATCTATAAACAACATCCATTTGTTTAACAGAATAATGCATAACTATTGCTTTCCAAGAAGTTGAGTGACTGCTACTATTTATAAGATGCTTATGTTAACGCTTTGTTAATTTGAAGCATTTTGTTATAAAATTAACTTGGACACAAGACTGTATTATAAATCATTAACAAAAAATTAGGGGGAGAAGTGTCAAATATGAATGTTTTAAGTAGTGCCAAACTTGCATTAAAAAAAAAATTCTATTAAAAAAATCAAATCATTCCAATAGCTACATTGAACCCCTAAAGCAATTTAGGAATTTGTTTCTTACAGACAATTAATCACATGCAGGCATGCCAGATGAGAAGTATTGATTGCCCTTTTCCAAACCAGTGGCATTCAGACAGGAGACAGACAAATGCCCTGAGCAAGAGGAAGCATCTTCCTGCTTCTGTCTAGTGTAGCTTTTAATTGTTCTTTACTAATGTGCATGACATTTTGCTGTTAATCTTTGGCAGAGTTCTTGTTCTTTTCTGAGCTATACATAGGCAGGATATATTTTTCATTACCTTCACTCCAAGATCCTTCATAAGCTCAGCTTCAAAATTCACTACATCATATGGCAATCGGAACTGTGGGATTTCAGAAGTACTAAAATAAAAAAACACACTTGTGAAACACTTTTAGCTATTAGAAAGGTTTTTCTTAAGCTGTTAAACATTAAATACTTATAAAAACACATTTAAGATAATTTTAATGTCTTTGAATGGAAATGTGGGGAAGCCCTTCTCTTTCTCTCTCTTTTTTTTTTTTTTTTTTCTTTAAAGTTATGAGACTAAAGAGTGACAAAAAAGCGCTATTCACTCAATGATAAAAACACAGGCCAGGAACACAGTACCTTGTGGCCAACCCTGCCCATACTTGCAGGTAACCACGCAACAGATGTTAAAATTGGATGCAAAAGAGTTTAAACTCCACTCTTGTCCACCACAACGAATATGTAACACCGAACTTAAGCCATCTATTTCAGACAAAATCTCCTGGCTGCTTAAAGCAAGGCAATCTTCTAGCAGTCACTCATTAAGACATCGAATAAGAATCAAATTTCTCCTAAACTAAAAAATGTTGTATATGCTATTTTGAGCAATGGTAATTAATCCTGTACCCTCCTCCATTTCTACTTCATAAATTTGTTATGATATTTCAGAATATGCAAAGTCAGTGATTTTATATCAGCTCTTAGTCTCATGTCTACCTTTTGACATAATATTTTTTATTATTCAATGTTTTTCTTCTTGAAGAGAAGTAAACTGTACAAGTAAACACACTGAAGTCCTTTGTAATGCTTTTATTCAATAAAGATAAAAAGACTGAATATGCAGAAAAGTAAAGTATCTTCCCAGATGTTCCTAAGCTTCTAACAGCAAAATCTGTTGTCAAATTAATAGATCTATGATTTCCATAACAAAACACTGGCATAGGAGATTCGTCAGCTTTATTTTATATATCGTTATTGATCATGCCACCTTTAACATCTAATTTTGACAGGCCAGAATGATTTTATTTACTTTAAATTGCATCAACCTCAGTTATATTGTTAAAAAGTTAGTGTGCCTTCTTCTTATCATTTCTAATATTGATCATTTTGCACCTTTCCAGACTGGTGTGAAATTAAAAGTGTTCCAAATATCAGACATAATGAATGTATCACAACAATGCAATTTTCATAGGTCATGCTAAGGAAAAAGGTGTCTGAGGCAGAGAATAACAGATCAGTATGATTCTACAATAGAGATTCAATAAAGAAATCTAATTAAAAAAGGAAATTTCTATCTTACAAGTCATATGTGTATTTGTTGAAGGTCTGACATGTCCTTAACTCTTAGAAAAGCCCAAAACAGCACCAGCTGTGCTATGCACTGTCTCCATTTGTAAACACTTTTTTGCTCTTACTAAAAATTTATTTACAGCTCTGCGCTAGATGCATATACGTACATAGAAACATATATACATGTGCATATGCAAATACACACAGTTCTGTGCAGACACACGCATGCACTTTACTACGAAAATAAATATTTTATGAATGTCAACCTGTAAATCAATAATTATGCTACAATTTCTTTCAGCAGCAGCAGCAGTGTCAGAAAGGCAGAGAGAGAGGAAGAAAACAGGGTGGAGGCGCAGGAGGAAGAAGAACAGAATTCTGGATGGGTCCCACGGATTCATGTCTTCCTCAAATCTGATCCCAGTTAAAGGTGCTTGGTGTTTCTTGGTGATCCCAAATTACTTTTGCCCAAGGGTCACCCCTTCAGGCAAGCGAGAGAAACATTTTGGTATGTTCTAAGCCAGTGACATAGCTAGGAGCATGAACAGTGAAGCTCGCTTGCTGTAAGCAAGAGCGTGATCTGTTCACGTCAGCTCTACCATAACGCATAAATTTTGCGCAAATAGTGAAATGTAAGAAAATCTATGCACAAGAAATAAGGTGAAAAATTCAGACGTGCAGGCAACCACAGACTTATGCTAAACTTACATGTTATACCTTGGGAACTCAGGAACTGAACTCACCAGACAGCTTTCTATAAGCTGAATATTACTCAAGTTAGCTACAACCTTTTATGTATGTGACGGGAGAGCCTAGTTAAAAACACATAAAATAAGACAGAGCAAACTAAAAAGGGCCAAAGCAGCACTGCCTTTTCAAACAGTTGATTCTGAACACAAAATTAATTTGGTCTTGTTAGCCGTTTGCAACAGTTTACGGAGCCACAAGAACACGCCCATCAATAACTTGGACTTGTTAAAAGATGTACTGCAAAGGCTTGTAACTGCAATAATGGATGACTGCCGCCATAGGTCAGGTTTCCTTCTGTCCCGAGATTAAAATAAGGACAAAAGGAACTGATACCTTTAATCCACACATTAAACTTTCTGCAATGAATGGAAGTAAAACTTGACCATTATCGTTATGCATTTTTCAGAGTCAAAAGTATAAAGACAGTAAAACACACTGCTTGACTGTTAAAGGATAACAAAAGACCAAGTAAAACTTAGGGTAAGGCTTTTTGCAATAGAACAAAACTGACTAAAATTGATTTTAAGTTCAAATTAAAACATGGAAAACAACTGCAACTTAAAACCACACTTCCTCAAATATACAAGCACCATCATACACTGAAAGCGACTGGGGAAAGTACTGCATTAATTTCCCTCAAAATTAATAACAGCATTATATTGCTGGATCCTACGTAAGTCTCAGGTGAAGTTTCATTGTTAAGAACAGCTCATTATTTCTTACTACTTTTAAGCAATTAAATTCATTTTAAATCCAGTATTGATAAAAACATAACGTGCTGCTCATTAGGTGAATAGATGTTTCATATACTAAATTTGCAGTCTTCAATGGTAAAAGCTCTAGTAAAAGACTTTCACATAGTTAAATACCTATATATTAACACCTTGATAATTAGGCAGAATACTTTTGAATCTCAGTGGAAAAAACACACATAATCAGATCTACTTTTCCAGCATTGATTCTCTATCTTCCAGAGCACTGGATAAGTATTTGACATTATGGATCAAATTCATTAACGGTGTCAACTCTATTGATCAAAGCAATGCTGCAGTAAGAGAAATGTGATTGCCTCACCCTTCTTTCTGTCCCTTCCTTCTCACTTCTTTATTCGCAAAAACTTCAGTGTGAATACATCTTTAAAACATGAAATTTTAATTTTGGGTGGGCTGGTATCTACTAGTCAGTTTCTGAAATACTGTCTCTTATATTTAGAGAGTCCAACAAACTTAACTCAATCATGGTTACTCTGAGAAAAATTCTTCTTCTAGTACAGACGACATGACATTGTATGTCCTGAAGCAAGGAAACATCACCCAAGTGTTTACCATACAGGTAAGATGCAAAGGTGCTTTTACAATTGAATATTTACTGAAAACTTCTTTTTTACACTTAGGTGAAGGTTGAAATTGCAGTGGGTTGATTTTCCTCTTACAGGATAGTTTACTAAGGCTGCAAGTCCAGGTAGATGTGATGGATTCATTCACTGTCATCTATATTTCCATGAAGAAGTTCATAAAAGCATTCTAAATTTAAATTTCTCCATGAAATTAAAATCCTCTTAAAGCATTTTAAACATCTACTAGTTATTTTACTCCACGTGGCTACAACTACTTCATCATGTTTCAAATGTTTTGGATCAGGGAAAACGATTCCTGACAATTTTCTGAAATGTTAATTTGGTAATATCAATAGAACCTCAGAATTTTTATAAGTCACATGAAGAGAATATAGGAGATATCCACCAAATTTTCAGTTAAAGTTACCCTTAAATGTACCCACCTTAGCCTGAATGATGAATTATTTAAATAAAATATAGCTTTCCAAATCTGAAATTTTCCATTCCTTTAAAAAAGGCAGAAGGATCACGTATAAACAATATCTGCACAATCTTTTTGCTATACTTTCCTCAGTCACAGGTAACAGTGGTTTTCTGTTTGTTTTTACCTTAAGCCACCAACATATTCCTGCTTTTCATATATGGTGATATCTGAATAGCCCAATCGAGCCAGAAAAGAAGCACAACTTATACTTGCAGGTCCTGCACCAAGGAGAGCTATCTTCACATGATAGGCTTCAGGCATCTCTTTTAGAGGAGGTAATGAAGGGTTTCTAATCTGAGGAATATTCATAGCTTTAAACACCTGAAAAGAAACACAGTCAACAGGTTACATTCAACAGGTTGCCTTGTTAAATTTGATTATGAGTAACACGATGGAAGCTTTTTTTTTTTTTTTTTAAAAAAAAGGAATACCTGTATATTTTCAAAGGTAAGCCGCACTTCAGACCACAGAATTACAGAATGGTTGAGGTTGGAAGGAACCTCTGGAGATCATCTAGACCAACCCCCTGCTCAAGCAGAGTTCACCTCGAGCACATTGCCCAGGACTGCATCCAGACAGCTTTTGAGTATCTCCAAAGATGGAGACTCCACTACCTCTCTGGGCAACCTGTTCCAGTGCTCTGTCACCCTCCCAGGAAATAAGTTTCTCCTCATGTTCAGACAGAACTTCCTGTGTTTGAGTTTGTGCCCGTTGCCTCTTGTCCTGTCCCTGGGCACCAATGAAAAGAGTCTGGCCCCATCCTCTTGACACCCTCCCTTCAGATGTACATTCATCAGATCCACCCTCAGTCTTCTCTTCTCCAGGTTCAACAGGCCCAGCTCTCTCAGCCTTTCCTCATAGGAGAGATGCTCCAGTCCCTTAATCATCTTAGCAGCCCTTCACTGGACTCGCTCCAGGAGCTCTTGTACTGGGAAGCCCAGCACTGGACACAGTACTGCAGATGAGGCCTCACCAGGGCTGAGTAGAGGGGCAGGATCACCTTCCTCGACCTGCTGGCAACACTCTGCCTAATGCACCCCAGGATACCATTGGCCTTCTTGGCCACAAGGGCACATTGCTGATTCATGGTCAACTTGTTGTCCACCAGGACTCCCAGGTCCTTCTCGGCAGAGCTGCTCTCCAGCAGGTCAGCCTGTACTGGTGCGAGGGGTTCTTCCTCCCTAGGTGCAGGACCTTGCGCTTGCCTTTGTGGAACTTCCTGAAGTTCCTTTCTGCCCATCTCTCCAGCCTGTCCAGGCCCCTCTGAATGGCAGCACAGTCCTCTGGTGTATCAGTCTCTCCTCCCATTTTTGTATCATCAGCAAACTTGCTGAGGGTGCACTGTCCCTTCATCCAGGTCATTGGTGAATAAAGTTAAACAAGACTGGAACCAGTATTGACCCCTGGGGAACACTGCTAGCTACAGGCCTCCAACTAGACTCTGCACCACTGATCACAACCCTTTGAGCTCTGCTATTCAGATGCCTCCTCTCTGACAATTCTAACAGGACTTGTTTCATGTTAATAGGTCATCATCAGCATAAAATAGCTCATCTATTTCAAATGTTCACTTTTTAATTGAGCATCCAAAAATTTTAGGCATCCCATACCTGAAAGTTAGGCCTTTTTCTCCATGTCTCAGTTCTTCACCTATAAAATGGAGATGATTTGCACCTTTCTATCTTGACTATTAGAAGTACTTTGGCACAGACTTCAACCATTATTAAGTATTTGTACAGAACCTAGCACAGTGGAGTCCTAATCTAGTTGCAATGTCATACAGTTTATTTTGGATTTGCACTAAATCCATTCTTTACTCAGGCACACGGGTTAAGAGGCTAAAACAGAGGTATTCTAAATTAACCAAGTTAGACTTCACTGTTCTCTGCAAGTAGGGGAAGGAAAAGAATCTCTGTCTTGTATAACCTATTAAAAGGAAGGAATAGAGCCCTTACAGGCTATTAAAGATTAGGAGCATGGAAGGGCATAGTTACAGCTCCCTTTTCTTTTGGGCATTAAGGGAAAAGTATTTATCCTAAGGAGCATACCTTTGTAGCAAAAGCACAAAGTTATACCAAAAGGATACAGCATTGCACTGCAATTCTTAGTCATACCACAACGAGTTGTGGGCTGCCTCTACGCAACCAAAAGATAGCACTGTTCCTCATCTATTCCAAAGCAGGACTGTTTTTCACATGCAATAACTAGCCCTCTAAAATACACGCATTGTCAATAGTCTTAATAAATATCAGCTCTAAACTCCTTAGTTTGTTTCCAGTTTTTATTTTCCTCAGAACTGGAGAAGGAAGGGTTTTTCAAGATAAACTTTGGCACAATCAACTCATGAATAGAATTTTTCATTTATGTTTTGAATCAATGTTCGTTTTCTTCATGCACACTTGAGCACTCGTGCTAGGTAAACCAATGATTAGTTCCTTCCCCCTCTGAAATTTCTGTGTCAAATTTCCCTACTCTTTGTAAATTGGCACAGCATTTTAACAAACTGCAAGAAGCAAGAGATAGATAATTGTTTTAAAAAAAGAATCATTTATACCTGACAATTCATACAATATGGGAAGGTTTAATGTGGTTATTAATGGATTTCACAGGCTGAAGAGCTTATATTGTACCGTGAAGCTAGACTGTGATAACCAAAATGGAATAGGATATTTTTTAAATGTCTGCTTTGTTACATTCACATAGAAATAGCTTGAACGGTACCAAATTTCCATTAAAGTCTCATGCACTTGTTTGAGAAGGCTAGTCAGTAATACAAATTATGTAACTAGCATATTTAATGTGTTTATTAAACACTATGATTATGCACATATTAAATAAATTTATTACTAAATTTACTTTATTGTTATACAATTTTTTTAAATTTATTATTGAACAATAGTCATACCCATCAACTAAATGTTATATTAAAACCCAGCATTATTGTAGTGCGCTGTTAAGCTTCAGAAACCAAGCACTCATGCAGGAAATCGTAGCAGTTCAGGCTGAATGGTCAATTTTAATTCTGCCTCTTTGCAAATAGGGTGAAACTGCCCTTATACAGCACAGCCAGCTTGTATGGTTATATCTTGCCATCTGGAATTCAATGGCAGTTTTGCCTATTAAGGCTGGCAGGGTAACTACGTGAAAATAGCAAACTGCCTCAATGCATTTCAAAAGGTTATTACTCACCTCATCATGAAGTTTCACTACACTGTAATTCACCTAATTAAATATCCCTGAATTCTTCTGTAGAAATCTTTTGGTGTGCAGAGATGACTACTTTGTAAGCGTTCTATGTCACATTACAAGCAACTGGCCTCTCCATTTTTTTCTCTGCTCTGACTTCTCTGCTCTTCATCTCTGTCAGGATGCAAGTTTTCTACTAGCGTCTTCCTTTTCTACATTCAAAAGCATTATTTCATTTCTGTTTTGAAATTTCTTTTTCTTTTCTTGTGACCAAGACCCATTCAGGAGAATGAGACAAAATAATGAATTTTAAAGTTGGACCTCTCAGTGGCAAGAGTCAGTCCTCATTCCCTTCTGTCCATCCTTCCTTCTCTTAAACATACACAAAACAGATTAGACAGATTAATAGATATTAATAACACTAGGCATTTATTATTTACCTTTTTATTCTATCATTTCCAATAGCCATTACTTCACCCTCCAGGCCCTACTCAAACTAAACCCACAGAGATTCAGTCCACTTCCTATGCTTCATGTCCATTAGGGTCCACAGAAAGGATAGCCCAAGTTTGCAAAATACATAGGTTTATAAAGTTTATATACAGGATTTCAGCTTGCAGAAGAGAAAAGTTTCTGCCAATTTATTTGTATGTGGCAGGTACAAGAAGGTAGTGAGTGACAGAACAAATCCTTTTCTCCTTCTTCCAGCCCTAGACATCAATACTTCTACACTGTTTTTACACTTGCTTCCCCTGTAACAGTGCCAGTTATTAGGCTGGATTCAACACTCCTCAAACATACTCATATTTGCACCAGAAAAAACAGCACTTCCCTCTGCCAATAAGCTCAAGCCATGTGATAGACACTTTGTCCTCAAGTGAGATACGATTTAGTCAAACCAAATAGTTGATTCATTCTACTAAGACCAAAGTTCCAGCAACTGGAATTAACCGTCTCCTGATTCAGGCATTGACAAAATACATGTTTCCCTATTTGCATTACTTTACATGTAAAGGTGTGAGTCTTGTGCAATATTTTCTCCAGGGTGAAATTTTGGGGTTATTTTATTCTTTCTTCTCCCTTGACTCATGAGTCAAACACCCTCTCTTTGCAATAGGGTTGGCTCTTGCCCCGAAATATTCTGCATACTCAAACTAAAGCACATAATTCCAGTCACTGTAGGCTATTACAAGCTTGCGTTAAAGTTTCACAGTATTGTCCATTATCAAAATCCATCATGAGTTATCACTTCACCAGACCAGCTGTTTTGGTGGCTGAGCATCTAATTCAAGTTGAATTCTCCTGGAAAAGTTTTAACCAACTCATTTTAGCTTTTTTAGAATAAGGAGAGGGGAGATTAAAAAAAGTGTTGTTCTGCTTTTGTTATAAAATTTGAGTTCTCTTTTTCACTAGACAATTCTAGTATTAGCAAGTTTTGGTGAAAAGATGTATCATTTGGAAGGAATGCGCTGGTTAAGTCAGAGAAATGCCTTTTGCCAACATGACAAAATAATTTTATGCCACAGTAAGCATAATTTAAATGAATTTAGACCACTTCAAATCATTAGACCAGGTTACAACTGTTATTCAGAAGCGTTATCTACATTTTTATATAAATTAGAATAAATTTAATATTACTCACTTCAGTCATAAACTTTGAGTTTCTCTATTTCTTAGAGGAATATATTGTAGATATTCTTCTCTATTTGCAGAATTCAAATATGATCAGATAATTTTGTTCTAATTCATCTTTATCTAAATTATCTTTGGACTATCACACAGAGAACTTGTTCAATAAAAACAGTGAAAAACTGAAAGTTCAACTCAGTATTAAAATATAGAAAACCCTTCAGCTAAAACATGATAAGCTGCTAAAAAACAAGTTCGGTAGTCTCCAGTACACACAGCGAAAGTTACATTTCCTAAGTGAAGTCTCCTCTTAAGATCTGTTTAATCACTCATCTTTTTCACAAGACTTTCACCAACAGAAGGATGAAATGCAAGAGATTTGCAAAATGGAAAAGGCATTTAGAAAATTTCACCTATTAGTGATAAAGTCAGAACTTACTTTACTAAATGTTTGCTCTCACACTTAAAAGGCTATAGAAATAGGTTCATTAGTTAGGCTGCCTTTA